CATCTACACCTCTGGCCCCAACACTGGTCTTCGTGGGACCATCATCTACACCTCTGGTCCCAACACTGGTCTTCGTGGGACCATCATCTACACCTCTGGCCCCAACACTGGTCTTCGTGGGACCATCATCTACACCTCTGGCCCCAACACTGGTCTTCGTGGGACCTCCATCTACACCTCTGGTCCCAACACTGGTCTTCGTGGGACCATCATCTACACCTCTGGTCCCAACACTGGTCTTCGTGGGACCATCATCTACACCTCTGGCCCCAACACTGGTCTTCGTGGGACCATCATCTACACCTCTGGCCCCAACACTGGTCTTCGTGGGACCATCATCTACACCTCTGGTCCCAACACTGGTCTTCGTGGGACCATCATCTACACCTCTGGTCCCAACACTGGTCTTCGTGGGACCATCATCTACACCTCTGGTCCCAACACTGGTCTTCGTGGGACCATCATCTACACCTCTGGGCCCCAACACTGGTCTTCGTGGGACCATCATCTACACCTCTGGTCTCAACACTGGTCTTCGTGGGACCATCATCTACACCTCTGGCCCCAACACTGGTCTTCGTGGGACCATCATCTACACCTCTGGCCCCAACACTGGTCTTCGTGGGACCATCATCTACACTTCTGGTCCCAACACTGGTCTTCGTGGGACCATCATCTACACCTCTGGTCCCAACACTGGTCTTCGTGGGACCATCATCTACACCTCTGGTCCCAACACTGGTCTTCGTGGGACCATCATCTACACCTCTGGCCCCAACACTGGTCTTCGTGGGACCATCATCTACACCTCTGGTCTCAACACTGGTCTTCGTGGGACCATCATCTACACCTCTGGCCCCAACACTGGTCTTCGTGGGACCATCATCTACACCTCTGGCCCCAACACTGGTCTTCGTGGGACCATCATCTACACTTCTGGTCCCAACACTGGTCTTCGTGGGACCATCATCTACACCTCTGGTCTCAACACTGGTCTTCGTGGGACCATCATCTACACCTCTGGCCCCAACACTGGTCTTCGTGGGACCATCATCTACACCTCTGGCCCCAACACTGGTCTTCGTGGGACCATCATCTACACTTCTGGTCCCAACACTGGTCTTCGTGGGACCATCATCTACACCTCCGGCCCCAACACTGGTCTTCGTGGGACCATCATCTACACCTCTGGCCCCAACACTGGTCTTCGTGGGACCATCATCTACACCTCTGGTCCCAACACTGGTCTTCGTGGGACCATCATCTACACCTCTGGCCCCAACACTGGTCTTCGTGGGACCTCCATCTACACCTCTGGTCCCAACACTGGTCTTCGTGGGACCATCATCTACACCTCTGGCCCCAACACTGGTCTTCGTGGGACCTCCATCTACACCTCTGGTCCCAACACTGGTCTTCGTGGGACCATCATCTACACCTCTGGTCCCAACACTGGTCTTCGTGGGACCATCATCTACACCTCTGGTCTTCCTGACAATATCGAGGTTTTTCATTTAATTTCAAATGCTGAGACTTCGGTCAATTTTTCTCTGCAGAATATAACATAGAAAACAATAGAGAAACAAGATCATTTCTGTTGTGTATGTATAGACACAACCGAACATCAGGAGAGGGACCTTTGACGACGTTTCGCTCCGCCCTGGACGATTGTCAACTGACCAGAACAGAGCGAAACGTCATTAGTTTCCTCCATAAGAACGGAGGAACACCGCAACATAGCTACTGACCTATACAAGGCAGGTCCATCTCAAGAGCAAAACATTCTCACCCGAGTTATTTGTCAGTTGTCACAGCCACGTTAGTTTTTATTTGTCGTTGATGTTAGTCGTGTTTCACATACGTTTTCCGGCGTCCATTGCACTATCTTTGCCTTCCCTTCTAAAGTGAATATCTTAAATTATACAGTTCTTATGCAGCTCTTTTCCTTATTCCTTGGAGCTACTGGCAGGCGTCCTGTGTGTGTGTAGAAGTTACACCATTATAACTTAAGATCAACGACAGGTAAGAACTGTGCCAGCCGCTGGAATAAGATGAAAATATTGGTTACCTGTAGAAAAATGTAAGTCATTAGGGTAATGGTGGTAATATCACTGATGGTAGTTACAAGAACAGCAGGAATGGTTGTAGTTTATGTGATGGTGGTGGTAGTGATTGTGATGGTGGAGGTTGTGATGGTGGTAGTAGTGATGATGGTAGTAGTGATGGTGGTGGTAGTGATTGTGATGGTGGAGGTTGTGATGGTGGTAGTAGTGATGATGGTAGTAGTGATAGTGATGGTGGTATGTAGTGATGATGGTAGTAGTGATGGTGGTGGTAGTGATTGTGATGGTGGAGGTTGTGATGGTGGTAGTTAGTGATGATGGTAGTAGTGATGGTGGTGGTAGTGATTGTGATGGTGGAGGTTGTGATGGTGGTAGTAGTGATGATGGTAGTAGTGATAGTGATGGTGGTAGTAGTGTGATGGTAGTAGTGATGGTGGTGGTAGTGATTGTGATGGTGGAGGTTGTGATGGTGGTAGTAGTGATGATGGTAGTAGTGATGGTGGTGGTAGTGATTGTGATGGTGGAGGTTGTGATGGTGGTAGTAGTGATGATGGTGGTAGTGATGGTGGTGGTAGTGATTGTGATGGTGATGGTAGTGATGGTAATGGTAAGTTATGTGACCCAACGTAAAAGTCGGAGCTTCATAACACTGGCAGCACGAAATAACGATCAAGATACTCAGAGGAGACATGTTCACGATATAAAATATATTTAGTGATAGGTACATGATGGATCTAAGTACGCTATTCGTCAGGAAAGAGACCAGAACAAGGGACCACACAGACCAGGACAAGAGACCACAGAGACCAGAACAATAGACCACACAGACCAGAACAATAGACCACACAGACCAGAACAATAGACCACACAGACGAGAACAAGAGACCACACAGACCAGAACAATAGACCACACAGACCAGAACAATAGACCACACAGACCAGAACAACAGACCACACAGACCAGAACAACAGACCACACAGACCAGAACAACAGACCACACAGACCAGAACAACAGACCACACAGACCAGAACAACAGACCACACAGACCAGAACAAGAGACCACACAGACCAGAACAAGAAACCACACAGACCAGAACAAGAGACCACACAGACCAGAACAAGAGACCACACAGACCAGAACAAGAGACCACACAGACCAGAACAACAGACCACACAGACCAGAACAACAGACCACACAGACCAAAACAACAGACCACACAGACCAGAACAACAGACCACACAGACCAGAACAACAGACCACACAGACCAGAACAACAGACCACACAGACCAGAACAACAGACCACACAGACCAGAACAACAGACCACACAGACCAGAACAACAGACCATACAGACCAGAACAACAGACCACACAGACCAGAACAACAGACCACACAGACCAGAACAACAGACCACACAGACCAGAACAACAGACCACACAGACCAGAACAACAGACCACACAGACCAGAACAACAGACCACACAGACCAGAACAACAGACCACACAGACCAGAACAACAGACCACACAGACCAGAACAACAGACCACACAGACCAGAACAAGAGACCACACAGACCAGAACAACAGACCACACAGACCAGAACAACAGACCACACAGACCAGAACAACAGACCACATAGACCAGAACAACAGACCACACAGACCAGAACAACAGACCACACAGACCAGAACAACAGACCATACAGACCAGAACAACAGACCACACAGACCAGAACAACAGACCACACAGACCAGAACAACAGACCACACAGACCAGAACAACAGACCACACAGACCAGAACAACAGACCACACAGACCAGAACAACAGACCACACAGACCAGAACAACAGACCACACAGACCAGAACAATCGACCACACAGACCAGAACAACAGACCACACAGACCAGAACAACAGACCACACAGACCAGAACAACAGACCACACAGACCAGAACAACAGACCACACAGACCAGAACAACAGACCACACAGACCAGAACAACAGACCATACAGACCAGAACAACAGACCACACAGACCAGACAACAGACCACACAGACCAGAACAACAGACCACACAGACCACAACAACAGACCACACAGACCAGAACAACAGACCACACAGACCAGAACAACAGACCACACAGACCAGAACAACAGACCACACAGACCACAACAACAGACCACACAGACCAGAACAAGAAGACAGCAATAAAGGAAAAGTTCCAACACAGAAATATAATGTTGTCAGAGTGAAGGGAGTAAAGATCTGGAGTGTATTAACAAGATATATATCTTGGGCCCCACCTGCTACCCTAGGACGGGGCTTGACAGCTAGAGCTCAACCCCCGACGACACAATAATGAGAGCACAAAAAACACTTGTGTAGGTAATTACCACTTAACAATTACCTATATTATTTATATTAATTTTAGATAAATAATATTTTAATATTACAAAGGTAACTTACATATTAGTGCCACTCATTAACTCTAATTAGATCTGTTAATTACTCTTAATACTTAAAACACTTTTAGGGTAATATATCTCACAAATACTCTATGACATTATTAAGATGATATACGTCACGTCAGTGTTATCAACACAATGTTTATGTAAACTAGATAATACACACACGAATATATATATATATATATATATATATATATTATATATATATATTATATATATATATATATATATATATATATATCATAAAAATTAGTATGTATTAAGCTACTGTTATTCTCAATATTATGTTTAGCTTCCTCATGATAAACATTCAACTCTTTCCTGATGTAGTGATCTTCATATTTCTAATTTTTTATATAATGTTGCAACTTGTAAGTTGCTTACTATCGACTGTACTTCATTTTGCAACACCTTGCAACTTTCCTTCAACACTTCACTAACATCCACCTTCCTCTTGTTCTTGCAGCCCCTGAGGAAATCACACAAGAAGTATCGTGCACCGAAGCCTCCATGCAAGACAGCGTGACCTCATGCAAGTTGACCTGACCTCAGAGGAGTTAACTCAGTCTCCCTGCGGGTCGACCTGACAACATGCAACAGAGACCTGAATACACAAGTCGATTTAGTCTCAAGCAAGATGAACATTATATACAAGCCAGTTTGACCTTAGATGAAGAGTCCCCTTACCTTTATGTAAATACCTTTGGCTTCAGCGATTTGCCTTCGTGTCGTCCCATGTAAGGCAAGTTATGTATTACACCAACCTAAGTCGATCACTGCCCATGTTAGGTTGGTTTCACGCAGACAAGTCTTCAAGACAGCTGATCACACCACGTACAGATCTCTCTGCTTCGCCCCGAGATGCACTACACTGAAAAAAAAAGACAAACGGTTTGGACTAATATAGGAACATCTCCCCAATCAATGTTAACGTCTCCGGAACCAAACGGAGGTTAATGGCGTCCAGGGAAGATGTAGAACAACATTAACATTGTCCTGGGAGCCACACGACTTTTCAGTCCAGTACGGAGGGGAAAAGACTCTAGAGGTATATACAGTAGACAGAAAGAGAGATGCTGCGTGCGGGGGCGAGGTATATACTTGGTACTTAATAGATATATTCTGTGTGGGCAGCAGGAGCCTGGCAAGACCATCTGAAATGATAACAATACCAGAATTTTGTGTGATGGTAGTTATAAGAGCGTGTGTGGTGCTGGTGGGTCCTTCATAACTGATTAGTTACGTCTTGATGATGCCTTTTATGCCTGTTATGCCTGTGTTTATACGCCATTTATAAATTAGACGTCATAAATGGTGTCCCTGGGAGCCAGAGGGACGTATAGCCCCTGGGAGCCAGAGGGACGTAGAATCTCTGAGAGGCAGAGGGATGTAGAACCCCTGAAAGCCAGAAGGACATATACCTAGGGAAAGAGGTTCAACTGATGATAATTGGTGTGCATGTTCCCCCAGCGCAATAACGTCACTTCGCCAGAACCTGCAGGAAGTGACAGCTAGAACCTCCAAGAAGTGAGAGCCAGAACCTCCATGAAGTGACAGCCAGAACCTGTAGGAAGTGACAGCCAGAACCTCCAGGAGTTCACAAGGACTGACCCCGGGGGCACACACAGTAACCTGTTACTCACAGTAACCTGTTACTCACAGTAACCTGTCACAGTAACCTGTCACAGTAGCCTGTCACTCACAGTAACCTGTCACAGTAACCTGTCACTCACAGTAACCTGTCACAGTAACTTGTCACTCACAGTAACGTGATAATCACTAGTGCCAGTAACTGACAGTTGAATCGTAACTCACAACATCATCTCGATAATGCAGAAGAGAACATTGCAAGCTTGAGTGCCTAAGTAAGACATATGTGCAATAATTAGGTACCTTCGTACCATCATAATATTCACTCTGTCAGACACTGCAACACAGTGGTACCTTGGTACACATATGGGAATAAAGATACCTAACTGGGGCATATATATCTTATCAACCAGTCGGTATTGTATACAGTCCAGACTTGAGTGTGGTCATCTAGCACTCAGACTTGAGTGTGGTCATCTAGCACTCAGACTTGAGTGTGGTCATCTAGCACTCAGACTTGAGTGTGGTCATCTAGCACTCAGACTTGAGTGTGGTCATCTAGCACTCAGACTTGAGTGTGGTCATCTAGCACTCAGACTTGAGTGTGGTCACCTAGCACTCAGACTTGAGTGTAGCCATCTAGCACTCAGACTTGAGTGTGGTCACCTAGCACTCAGACTTGAGTGTGGTCATCTAGCACTCAGACTTGAGTGTGGTCATCTAGCACTCAGACTTGAGGTGTGGTCATCTAGCACTCAGACTTGAGTGTGGTCGTCTAGCACTCAGACTTGAGTGTGGTCATCTAGCACTCAGACTTGAGTGCGGTCATCTAGCACTCAGACTTGAGTGTGGCCATCTAGCACTCAGACTTGAGTGTGGTCGTCTAGCACTCAGACTTGAGTGTGGTCATCTAGCACTCAGACTTGAGTGTGGTCATCTAGCACTCAGACTTGAGTGTGGTCATCTAGCACTCAGACTTGAGTGTGGTCATCTAGCACTCAGACTTGAGTGTGGTCATCTAGCACTCAGACTTGAGTGTGGCCATCTAGCACTCAGACTTGAGTGTGGTCATCTAGCACTCAGACTTGAGTGTGGCCATCTAGCACTCAGACTTGAGTGTGGTCGTCTAGCACTCAGACTTGAGTGTGGTCATCTAGCACTCAGACTTGAGTGTGGTCATCTAGCACTCAGACTTGAGTGTGGTCATCTAGCACTCAGACTTGAGTGTGGCCATCTAGCACTCAGACTTGAGTGTGGTCGTCTAGCACTCAGACTTGAGTGTGGTCATCTAGCACTCAGACTTGAGTGTGGTCATCTAGCACTCAGACTTGAGTGTGGTCATCTAGCACTCAGACTTGAGTGTGGTCATCTAGCACTCAGACTTGAGTGTGGTCATCTAGCACTCAGACTTGAGTGCGGTCATCTAGCACTCAGACTTGAGTGTGGTCATCTAGCACTCAGACTTGAGTGTGGTCATCTAGCACTCAGACTGAGTGTGGTCATCTAGCACTCAGACTTGAGTGTGGTCATCTAGCACTCAGACCTGAGTATTGTCATCTAGCACTCAGACTTGAGTGTGGTCATCTAGCACTCAGACTTGAGTGTGGTCATCTAGCACTCAGACTTGAGTGTGGTCATCTAGCACTCAGACCTGAGTGTGGTCATCTAGCACTCAGACTTGAGTGTGGTCATCTAGCACTCAGACTTGAGTGTGGTCATCTAGCACTCAGACTTGAGTGTGGTCATCTAGCACTCAGACTTGAGTGTGGTCATCTAGCACTCAGACTGAGTGTGGTCATCTAGCATTCAGACTTGAGTGTGGTCATCTAGCATTCAGACTTGAGTGTGGTCATCTAGCACTCAGACTTGAGTGTGGTCGTCTAGCACTCAGACTTGAGTGGGGTCATCTAGCACTCAGACTTGAGTGTGGTCGTCTAGCACTCAGACTTGAGTGTGGTCGTCTAGCACTCAGACTTGAGTGTGGTCATCTAGCACTCAGACTTGAGTGTGGTCGTCTAGCACTCAGACTTGAGTGTGGTCATCTAGCATTCAGACTTGAGTGTGGTCATCTAGCACTCAGACTTGAGTGTGGTCGTCTAGCACTCAGACTTGAGTGTGGTCATCTAGCACTCAGACTTGAGTGTGGTCGTCTAGCACTCAGACTTGAGTGTGGTCATCTAGCACTCAGACTTGAGTGTGGTCATCTAGCACTCAGACTTGAGTGTGGTCATCTAGCACTCAGACTTGAGTGTGGTCATCTAGCACTCAGACTTGAGTGTGGTCATCTAGCACTCAGACTTGAGTGTGGTCATCTAGCACTCAGACTTGAGTGTGGTCATCTAGCACTCAGACTTGAGTGTGGTCATCTAGCACTCAGACTTGAGTGTGGTCGTCTAACAGTAATATACATAAGGAACATCTCTTCCGTGTGCTCTGTAAAGGATGTCCTCTAAGATTTATTAACCAAGGTTCCCCTTAGTATGACGGACTCTTCAATGTCGGAAAATTGTCAGGATATAGGCATATTGTGATGTATGACCAGCCTATGTGACTAGCCTATGTGACCAGACTGTGACCAGACTACGTGACAAGTCCTCCATAGGAGAAGTGTCGAATGACTTACACTCAACAATTACCCTGCGGGTAAAAATCCCTTTAATTACTTTAATAATTACTTTCCATTTTATTATATATATATATATATATATATATATATTATATATATATATATATATATATATATATATATATATTGTTAGGTAAGACACGTATCTTTATTTCGAAACGTTTCGCCTACACAGTAGGCTTCTTCAGTCGGGTACAGAAAAGTTGATAGAAGCAGAAGATACTTGAAGACGATGTAATCAGTCCATCACCTACTGTGTAGGCGAAACGTTTCGAAATAAAGATACCTGACTGCTGCATATGTGTCTTACCTAACAACCTGTCGGTATTTTATACCATTTCAATGTTCATATATATATGTACATATAAACTCTCTTTACTCTAGCGGCTATGTGAGTTATTTTTAACAGTTACTGATCCAAGGAATTAAAACCACCCTCTCTTTCCTCGGATCAAAGCGGATTTCTTTCCATGCCCCTTCTGGCATTATATGACAACTCCCATTTTAGCGCTCCCTAGAGAATATAATAATAACTACGGCAGTGGCTGCGCCTTTGAGTACCTTCGGGTGCTTTTGTATATATCTGGGTACCTTCCAATACATTTGGATACCTTTGGGGACATTTGGGTATTTCCAGATACCTTTGGGGACATTTGGGTATTTCCAGATACCTTTGGGGACATTTGGGTATTTCCAGATACCTTTGGGGACATTTGGGTATTTCCAGATACCTTTGGGGACATTTGGGTATTTCCAGATACCTTTGAGTACCTTAGGATACATCTGGGTACATTTGTGTACCTCTGGGTACCTCTGTCATTTTATTTTCCGTATCGAGTTCTGGCAACACTGCCGCGCTGCCAGCTGTTTCAAACCTGTTAATTTTACTGTGTATATATTTAGCGTCCTCACTGTCATCTTCCTGCCATAATAATATGACATCTGAGTTATGGTGGTTATTACGTTTTCGTATTATTAATTATTGGCAATTAACATGTCAACGTATCGTAAATTATCGCTGTATTGTAGCTTGTGGTGGCGTCAACGAATGGTACGATAACTGTTCCCAAATGTACGATAACAGTTACAGTTGATTTACGATAATTGTTGCGACGTGAACGAGCGTTGGTGACTGTCAAGTGTGATTCAATTATTGATTGACAAGAGTACAGTTATTACTCCTGTTAGTTGGAAAATTACTGATTACTGCCAGTTGTACGATAACTAATTCTTGCATGTTATGTGATAGCTAATTACTGCCAGTTTTACGATAACTGATTCCTGCCACTTGTAAAATAACTAATTCCTCTCAGTTACGCGATAATTAATTCCTGCCAATTATACGACTGTTAGTTACTGTCAGTTGTGTGATAACTTAGTCCTGCCAGATGTACGATAGCTGATTATTCCTACTTTTACAATAACTGAATCCTGCCAGATGTACGATGACTGATCCTTGAAAGTTGTATGATGACAGATTCCTGCCAGTTATACAATAGCTAATTCCTGCCAAACGTACGATGGCTGATTCCTGCCGAACGTGCGATGAGTGATTCCTGCCAGATGTACAATGACTGATTCCTGCCAGGCGTACGATGATTGATTCCTGCTAGATGTACGATGATTGATGCCTGCCAGATGTACAATGATTCCCGCCAGATGTACGATGGATGATTCCTGCCAGACATACGATGACTGATTCCTGCCAGACGTACGATGGATGATTCCTGCCAGACATACGATGACTGATTCCTGCCAGACGTACGATGGATGATTCCTGCCAGACATACGATGACTGATTCCTGTTAGGTGCGTGGCAGCTCATTCCAGTCAAGTGTACAATAGTCTATTTGCATCAGGTGTTTCCTGTCAGTTGTATGGTAACTAATCACTGCCAGTTTAGCGATAATTGAGTCATGTTAGTTGTACGTGATGTGGAGAAGTGTCGTACACGTCAGCAAGTTCTTACGATACGTACATTAATACCTTTCCATCCCCCATAGGAAAGTGAACTTATTATTATTATAATCAAGAAGAAGCGCTAAACCATAGGAAAGTGAAGCCCATAAAAGGAGACGAGAGAAAATATGGAAAATTAAAAATTCAGATTCTTTATCACCACAAGATACACAGTTTGTGAGGCTGGTATTTAATATTGTGCATGGAAGTTCCTGGGTTGTGTAGAGCAATACGAGAGACAATGACCGTTTAATGAGACCATTATATGGACAAGGACGCTTTGGTAGTGACGATGGGACGGACAAGGACACCTTCTTTGTGACATAGGTAAAAACAAGAATAACAGACAGGTCACTTAACAAGAATAACTGGCTGGAAACAAGTGATATAATCAATGAATATCAGATCAAATCTAAACATCAATAGGTTGGTGTCGGAACTTTCAAGAAGTTTAGATATTAGACATTAATGCAAACTCGGCCGACACAAGCGGCCAGCACTCCTTTCAGAGTGCAAAACGTTTAACAGGCATCCATTTCAGACTTATAAGATAGAATGAGAGTATCTCCCAGGACGGGGAGTGTGTCAACTAACCTGCCTTATACTTGACACTGTTTACCTCATAACATGACACAAACTGTGTCACTAACGTTTAGTTGTCGCTGAATTCTGGCTGTGGAATGCAGCTCATTGGTCAGTCTGTCGACCAATCAGGAGAAAAAGGTGATGCTGTTGATATTTATTGGCTATGTTATGGGCCAATCAACGCATTTGTTTTTTTGGGGTATTCTGGAAATTAAGCAACAAGATCTGCCGTCATTGACGGTTATTGGTTGTTTTCTCGGCCACTCAGGAAAAAGATATGGTGTTCTTGCTTCTCATTGGCTATTTGTTGACAATGAACAATGTGAAGACATAAATGAAGAATAATAGTGTTGTGAGCTCTCGACCAATCAGCAGAGAGATCTAATTGACATGGCGCTCATTTACTGTTTAACGATCAATAAAAAGAAAGCAAAAATTCTGGATCATTGGCTGTTGGTCGACCAATCAGCGGAGTGATCTGATGTAACTTATTTATTGGCTGTTGGTCGACCAATCTAAAGTG